TATAACTATTGCACTGATTTAGTTACAAGATAATTGGAAAGTCACGAAAAAGACTGCAATAGACTGCAATTACACTCAGTGTACTAGTAAGCTGACAGAGTTGGAAGTGGAGTCATTACTAACAACAACTGACGGCAAATGATACACTATCGATCTTATTTGTTTGTTTTCAACTTAAATAAACAGGAATGTGTGCATGTGCGTGCGTGTGTGAATGTTATCCACAGACAAACAGATGAATAAAGAAAACAAAGCATGTGATTGCTCTCAATGAAAGATTTTTTATTGTCCCACACGAATCTGAGGCAAAAACTATAACAAAACCTTCACCGGTCACCCCAACCGCCATCCCCACCAGCTGCCGCCGCATTGATACATTTAGACAACAACAACAACAAAAAGATATAAACATTTCAGAATAGTGCCGATTACATTTTGTAATTATTATTATCATGATTATTGATTTTGTGGAAAGATTGTTAGATGTAGAGTAGTTGAAGAATTGGTTAGACAAGACGGAGCTGGTGGTGGTAAAGTTGAGCGACATATTATTGTTGTTGTTGTTGTCTTTGGAAAACAAACAGACCGACAAACATTCATGCGTCCATCCACCCATCCACACATCAATCCATCCATCCACTGAGGCGCATGTGCACAGCCTCCTTCAAACGCACATATATATATCATATTTCTATAATGTGATATGTCTCTATTTTAGTCTTTGTATAATGAGGAAAATAAACCAGAGAAAGTCAGTGTTTATTCCCTGACACTTGATGATAGTGTCATAAAGGTGAAGAGTTAGCCGGGGATGGGGTGGCGTAGAGTGGGAGAGGAGAAGGAATCAGTGAGGATAAGACTATTGACTGGTCATCATTACAAGTGGAAGAAAAAGAGGTAGAATGGGGTTATTATGAAGTAAACGAGAAAGGCCATCTGATTACTACTTTGTATAAATAAATAAGGCCTAGTCATACATACATACATAGAATAAACTGTCTTTCTTAGTTAGGCATCCGATATGTCTTTTTCCTCAGATATCTTTCATAAACAGACGATTTGAAAGAGGGGGATTGTTTAGATAACTTTCTGTTCTGTATGGTAGACTATAGGGTGAACTTATTGTATGTATGTGTGCGTATCTGTAACTGTGAAGACTGATGACACTTACTAGTCATTTATAATTATATATCATTGCAATGCCAACATAAAATGACTAGCAGTAGAATCTAGGACAACTGGCATTTCGCCCTATTTTAGGGGGACTCATCAACAACTAGTGAGTGAGTGAACCTGCCTTCCCCAGCCAATGAGTGATGGTGTTCCTACTGAAGGTTCGAACCCACTACCCATGGTTTTAAGTGTTAGAGTGTCATCCACTAGGCTAATTGGTCCATGAAAGCCACCTCTTCTTGAAACGGGTATCAGTTATTCATTTAATTCAACTTGTACTTTTCTGAAGTGTTCAGCTCTGGTGACTCAACTGGTTTAGTGGATGACATTTTGACGCCCAAAACTATGAGTACTAGATTCGGACTTCAGTGAAAACACTATCACTCACTGAGACTGGGGAATGCAAGTAGTACATCAAACTGACAAAGAGTTCGAAATAAGGACGAAATGCACATTCTGTTGGATTCCACCCATTGATAATCACCAACCAAGAAATTACTTTAAGTTAAATCCTTAGACATCTTCAAAGCATACGCACAAGAAGAGAGCCGACATGTCGGTAAGAGAGACCGAACAATTTGGTCATATTAATCCAGTGAGTAAGTTCAAAGTGAATTCAATAACTATATTGACATAACTTTCAAACTATGAACCATAAAATGTAAATTAAGTAGTAATTTATGGCATCCTTAGTATTTTACTTGAAGATTCTATATATGCGGAGTAAGTATTCTGCCAACCACGCAGGTGGTTCGGGGTTCGATCCCTGACTGATGCAATCCTCCTTTACCTCGCTAGGGCCAGTAATAAGACTGGTAAAGAGGGAAGGTTGTGGGGCATGAGGTTAGCAACTCCATGCCGTAAAAATAAATACGGCTGCTAGTGAAACTTCAAAGCTCTAGCTTGAAAGGCGCCGTATGTTGCACTCGGAACGTAAGGCAATAAATTAAAATATTGATAAACATTTTAGAATAAAGCCTTTTTCAGTGCTGTCGTTATTTTAACCTTCCTGTCTATCTCTCTTACCCCTCATTCTCCATATTGGGGTGTAACCTATGTCATGTGTCTAAATCGTTGGTGTTAGAGGTGACTCAATTCTACCAGTCAGATGTGGTTTTTAGTTGGTCACTTAACTCGGTGACTCACCATCTCTGTGGAAGCTTTTTCTGGAGTGACGTTGGCTGGTTAAAATCAACCTGTAGGAATCCTAGTTATCGGTTACAAATGTGTTAACCACATTGTTTGCATTCCTTTGCATTCTGTATGGAACCCTTTGTGGGGTGGTGGGTTTTAGAAGTATGTCTGCTGGAATTCCGATCTAAACCGATGAGCGTGATTGTTGAGCGTTTCACCATTGAACCAAAGGCACAAGTGTCTGCAGTATACCTGACCATTATTATTATTATTATTATTACCGTTATCGTGACAATCAATTCTATTTTAACGGTTGCTAAATCTCGAAGAGTATATTTATCACAAAAGATGCATTTTTTTAGTAACGTTCATTTCTTTATGGTAAATATTAGTTTAAATTCACAGTGGATTTAAGACTAAAAATCGATGTTTTGCCGAGAAAGACAATGAAGGCTTCTCAGTTTTCAACTAAGGAACTCAAAGAACACAACAACAACAACAATAATAACCAGAACAACACAAAGGAGATTAACTTCAGTCATTGGTATTGTCTATTTCTGCAAAGAATATACCTTGTTCACATAAACTTTGAAACTATAAGTAGTCAGTCAGCGCTGAAATCATTGACCTCTTGAACAAGGACTGTTTGCTTGAATCAGACATAGTATTTTTTTTTCCTTCACGTCCCAGTGGAACATAGTGGCTTGAAGTTTCTGTAGCAGTGTTTACTTTTACAGGATGGGGTTGCTAGCCTCATGCCCAACCTTTCCTCTTTACCAGCATTATTTCTGGCTCAGTGAGGTAAAGGAGTGCCGGCCGGGGATCGAACCCGGACCATATGCATGGTCGGCGAGCGTCCTAACCGTTATACCACCGACGCACAGACATAGTATTAATTATTCTTAAATGCTTTTTGTCACTTTGTGTACTTTAATTAGCCTTTATTTATCATATAAATTGACTTGATAAGTAAGTGTTGCGGAATCAGATTGCTGCTCGAAATTTACTACGCAAGATAATATTCATCTTCTAATAACACTATCCAAATATAGGAAAACGGGTGACATAATCACAATTGTTTCTATTAAAAAAATATTTAAACTCTGTTCCTTTTTTTTAAAAGATTATTTGTGTAATTAGTCAATAAACAGTCTATCCTCTTAAATCTTGATAATTTTTTTTCAAGTATTGGTTTTGTAGGGATTTTGTCTGATTGGTTGGGGAAGACCAACTGGGAGTACTGGACAGCTGTTTCGTCCTAGTTTTGAACTCTTCATAAGTACGCATCCACTGGGCTCGAACTGAGGACTTCTGATTACGAGGCGAATTCAGATCGCAGTGGCTTAATGGTCTACGAGCTGGCTCTCCTCGTAACCAGAAGATCCTAGGTTCGAGCCCTATCGGTGGGTGCGTACTACTGAAGAGTCTTAATAATTTAACAGAGGGCATCATTCAAGACAGTTATGTTCCTAAACAGTTACTCCATGTCACTGAGAAAAAAGCATGTTCAAACCCTTTTTAGTGTATATTTATATTTTTAAGTTGTAGCCATGGTGATAAGAAACAGTCAAAATAATAAAGAACGAACTCATACTGCCGTATTCTTGCTTTGTTCAAAAAATACCAATGAGAAAAATTGTATGAATAACACTGAAAACATCAAAATCTCAGCTATTAATTTTTATTACTATTTCAAAGAATTCCAGTTGTTTAGAGAGACTTTGAGAAGTGTACATATTTCATCGCCCACTCTCTCTCTCTCTCCTTTTGAGGCGGATTTTCTTTTTCTATTCCTCTACCTTCTGAGTGGTACAAAGGGTTGCTTCAAGTTAGAGTTCTGAAGTTTCGATAGTAGTGAATTTTACTGGGTATGGTTGCTAATCTTACTCCCAACCTTTCATATTTTCAGGCTTAGTGAGTTTTAGGAGTGCACTGACCAGGAATCGAACCCCGTACCATGTGAGGTGTGGTTGGTGAGCGTTCTGCCGCTGAACCAATGGCTTAACTTTGGGTGGATAACAATTTAAATTTATTTTTGACAAAAAAAGAATGAACACCCTAACATGAAAATGAATGCCAAACAGCGGGATTTGAAAACTTGAGCTACCGAAAAAGCCTCCATCATGGCAGATTGCATATAATTTCTCTTGTTCAATTTGTTTTAATCTATTCAAGCATGACTTGAATGGTGTTTTCCACTTTCGTGGGTATTTAAAGTGTCTACAACCTACTGATTTAGAAATCTGTACTAAACTTGAAAAAAGTAACTCGTGGATGGCAACATATCTCAGGACATGAAGTGAATGTTACGGAAAAAAATTATTTGAAAAATCCCTCCTGGAAAGTCTAATCACAATATTTGGCCGCGGCAAAAACAAACCATCAAATGACAACACACACCAGGCCATCACTCGAGTGGAACTCAAATGTGAAGCGGCGAACTGGTCGCTAATGCGAGGGTGACATGGGGGCGTATGTGATGTGAAGAGGAGATGAAAGCATGTGGGTAGACATGAAGCCAGGTGAAATAGTTGCAAAGAGAACCAAACACCATGGAGATATGCAGCTGAAGCCTTATATTCCTCTAGAACTAAAGGAAACAATAATTATAATAATAATAATATTCCACTGAAAATTCCGTTCATTATATAAATACTATTATTATAATTCAGTATTATAAATAAATTACTTACGCGTATCTACATCCATTGGTATAACTCCTCGAGGATTGATAACACTTTCACTGCTCACTATTGTACAAGTTCCAACTTTACTAACCGTATCATCAGCATTTGTCGACCTAATGCTAACAATTTTGGTCGTACATCTATCCATTTTAAGGCATTATTTTCATGGGATTGTGTTCCGCGTATTTCATTGAACATATAAACTATATAAGGGGGTGTTGCACCGCCGATAGCATCTTCAGGATTCAATTCAATCGGTACCGCTGCAGTGATTGTAACATTTTTCAACCTATTCGACGGTCCCATATATTCAATTTGTAGGGTATGTTCAATTTTTGGACCAATATCAGAGACTAAAACACGTTGTTGTTGACCAGGAACACGTTTTGACGGTGCTGAACGATTATCCATTCTACTAGATATCTCACCAGGTCCGTAGGAGATTCTTATTCTAGGCTTATGTATCACACGATAATTAAAGCGTATTGTATTACTAATTGGTTGCGGGTCTGGTGTACCGGTTATCACATTGATGGTGACTCCTGCACCATTCTGGAAGTTTGTATCATCCTCTGACATAAATTGATCATAATATGTGGATAAGATAAACCGCTGACTCGGTTCAATAATTTCACTTCCCGTATCTGACATAACCACGGGTGCCAATAAAGTTCCAATAGGACAGTGAACCCAAGTTTCATTCTCTGATACTTCAACCATTAATGGTTCTGACTGGCTAATACTGTTACTAGCTCCAGCTTCGGAAGTGTCAGCATCGAATTCAAGTCGTGAAAATCTTAAATTTCCATGAAATTGTAATTCCATTCGAGTGCCTTGAGCTTTAGTCGGTCCATAATTGTAGATTTCAATTTGTAGCTGTGGTCTCGACATATTCGTATTCCCATATTCGATGTCGATTGTAGTACTAGGTATAAAATCACCAGTAGTGTTCTAGTATGTTATTATTAACATTATTATTATTATTGGTAATAATACCATTGTGATCGGCAGCAGAGTTCGCTTTATCATCGATCATATCACCCCAGGCGACAATCTGTCCTGATTGTACATCTTTCACACGTATGCCAACATCACTTTCACACTCTGGTCTTGGATAACAAACATACCGTGACAATGGAATTTTAGCAATACACTTTGACCAATCAATAATAGGACGTTTTAACCAACCACCATTTGGACAACTACCATTACGATCGATAACATTTTGATCCCCATAGCATGGTTGTAAAAATCGATAGCCTAGGTATACACCACTTCCAGTTTTTTTATCCGACTCTAAATCATGCATATCTTCAACATTCATTTTTGCCTGAATATTAAACTCAACAAGCAGTTGGTTCTGTTTCACTTCAAGATGAGATTTAATCGGACCAGCTAGACTAAAACGTTGTCCAGCTAGCTGACTTGAATTCCAATCTGTATTGATTTGATGGATGAATTTCAGTAGATCTGATGACTGGAAAAATATACTCCCATCTGATTGATTTAGTCGAGAAAGTTTATTCTTGCCACCTTTAAAATATATCATGATTTGAACTGGGATTATATCATTCGCGAGAAGATTTCTAATCGCTAACCATGGCGGGAAGGTGAATTGACATTCTGCTGTCCAAGTGTGACGACTAGCGAATACAATCGCCGTTTGACTGAATTCCCCACCTTTCGACGGTGATATAGGCACCACAAGATCATTTAATCCATTAAAGTCTAAGTCATAAGCACGAGATGGTAGATGGGCGCCGAAATCATAAGCTCCAGGTGGACTGGTCAACCGATGCAAGGGTGTTCTATCGAATCGACAATTGGATAGAGTACGTATAATATAGATATAACTGTAACCATAGGCATTCTTTAAATCCGGTGCACCTACAGCCAACTCATCATTTCCGTCGCCATCGAAATCACCGAGGTTAGTCAGAGCAAAACCAAAATTTGTTGAACCTTTTGGACCGTCCAGATAATCATAAGCTGTTGAGACTTGATGCATATCGGATTTCAAACTGATGCCATGATCTGATTGACAAAATAGATAGATTCTGCCTCGATTATAAGTAACCGATTGAGTTGTGCTAGTATCTGATTGATTTTCGCTTTTATCAGTATCACCTGCATATGGAGCACCCATGACAACACTTTTAATATACGGTCCCTTCAAGTGCACCCTCAACACAGACATACCATTTCCAGAGAATTGATCGGATCTACTGGTTTCAGGGAACCAATCTACAGTGCCATAGAAACCATTTGTTGACTCTCTAGACGATTTCGCTAAATGGATCCCGACTAAATGAATAGGATTTGTATAATTTCCATCTTGACGACTATTGAGTAGGCCAGGAGCTGTGACAAAATCTTCTGTCAGTGCATAACCAAAAAATGAACCAATAGCCATACTTTCAGTATTCTCTGGTCTAGGTATAGTGATCATTTCATTGAACCATAGAGATCCGTCAAGATTTGTATACGTCCATGTGGTGTTGACAATGGTTCACCAACCCAAAGTCGAACATTTGATAAGAGATTAGCAACAGATTTCGACGTTTTTACACTGTTGTCATTACCCATCGATAGAGCAACACTTTGACCTGCTGCACATGGTGTTGCAACTTGCATTCCTGTTTGACAAAAGTCAGCTAACTCTAAACTCGGCTGAACTTGTCCATTGCGTACAATATGTGAAAAACATCTACCTACTGGAACTTTTGAACCTGCTCTCCATAAAGGATCACAATATACAATAAACTAATATCTTGATTGATTTTCAACGCTTCACTTGACGCACCAAGAAATTCATGATCATTTACACTGCTAGTAGAAGTTTGTTCCAGCAGAGTACACGGATTCTCATTGAATCCAAATCCCAACAGGGAATCCCGATCAGATTTCATATCTAAATGGCATAAAAATACATGACTATTTTGTCGTGGGGATACAGTATCGCTTGCCTCCAGCGAGTCTGGTTGTTGACGTCGAAATGATCCACCGAGTAGGATATGTCCACGTTTAACACGTTCTGAATTAAATACGCTGATACTAGTCCATTCGAACTGGTTATTCAAACCACTAGATAGTTTGTTCGAAGAAGGTTGAAACTGTTTAAACTCGCGTGTATCACATTCTTGGATTGGTTTAAAATCAGGCCATACTTCCAATGGAGTTTTTGGTGACCATAAATCCGCTCTTGACGCATCATATTCCCAGTGAACATCAGAATATGATTTCTCACTTAGTGTATGTGATGAATCGTCTACAGGAGATGATGAATCATTACTCAAAACCAATTGAGTTGAGAACACATGATAACACAATATTAATGTGATTTTGACATATTGACAATACGAAGTAGAATAATATCGCCTATTAATCCACATTACTCATAAATTATTGAGAATTAGATGTAAGTAGATGTATGTATGTATGTATGTATTGTGTCTGGGTGCGTATGTATATATATGTGTGCTATGTTATCCAATGATAATAGTAACTATGCAAATTATTGATCCGATTCTAATCTAGTCGTGTATAAGGAATCCTTTTTATTTTAGTAATAATAATAGTAATAAAATAATGACGACAACATTTTGCTTTCAGATCTGTGTTTGTTTGTCAGAGAGGAAAAAAATATCGATGAGAGATAAACTTCTGAAGAGAGATATATTTGTGTTAAGTTTTAATGCGTGTGTTGACAATGAGTGTTGTCCGCCTATTTATTTGTAGAAAACTAACCTCGGACACACCATTTTGGAGATAGATATGTGTTAGGAAATACTTAGGAAATATTAGCCAATCAGATGACAGGAAAATACTGTAATCTGATTGGCTGTTGATAACATCTTGTCTCTAGGCAACTTATTGGCATATTTTAAGGGTTGTTGATAGGCTTTTATTTTTTGTCTTTTTATCACGTACACAATATAAGTATGTTTAAGATATTGGTGAGAAAGAACACAAAAATAAATAAACAAATAAATAAATAAAGAAAAAATTATGCTTTCTCTGTTTTTTATTTATTGTGAATTACATATGCAAATCAGTTAGTGTGATTTTTATCGTGACATCTCTGATGGTTTTTCGTGAATTAATTAGATTTATTACAATAAGGATTCTAGAAGAGAAGATTTGGACTTCATGGACGACATATGTGTTTAATGTCACACACTCACACACACACACACTTGCGCACTCGCGAAATCAACGATCTATAGACGGGAACCAACAAGTTTTCAGAAGGGACTGACAGAGGAAACTGGAATTCAAGTGGAAATGGAGTAGACATAGAGGTAAAGGAGGTACCCAACCAACCAACCAACCACAACAACAACAAGCATCAATCATAATCAATGGGATAAAAACTAGAACGAAACAGTTGTCCGGTACTCCCTGGTTGGTTTTCCAATGATTCTCTAACCGATTTCAGTTCATGATGAAATCCTATAACCGATCAGTCAAATCCCTAAAACCAATACTTGAAAATCGATGAGATGCTCCCTGACGACTGACTATATTTAAGTAGGTAGTTACCTGAGGTTCTCAGAGAAAGTCGTGACCAGTAGGGTACAACAAGTTGGATGTGACGGCTAGCAGTCACGCTATGTTGTGAATTGGCAGAAATTGGAATTCATGGTTGGTCATTGGATTGGTTCCCACTAGTGGACAAATGGTCTACGAGCTAGCTCGCTAGCCTTGTAACTAGATGGTCGTGGGTTTAAATCCTGGTAGCAATGGGTGCGTACTTCTGAAGAGTCCCAAGCACTAGGACGAAACAGCTAGCTGTCGAGCACTCACTGATTGGTTTTCCAATTGTTTTGTAACTGACGTCAACTGATGATGAAATCTTCCAACCAATCAGTTGAATCCCTATAAACCGACACTTGAAAGTTTGAAAAGGGTTGCTTCCTTGACGTTTCTAGATGGCATCGTTTCAACTATAAGCGAGCGGAACGACTGAAGATGTCAGTAACGCAATCGGAAAGGCAAGGTACACCTTCATCATTTCGAAATCAGCATGGAAATATTTTTCACTACCTCAGCATAAAGAACACCTATGTTAAGTTAGTCAACCCGCATCTCCCGAATAGCTCAGTAGTAATGTCTCTGACTGCAGCACTGGGTGACGCGGGCTGAATCTTGTGCATCAGTGGCACAGCGGTTAGGACTCTCGTCGACCATGCACATGATCCGGGTTCGATCCCATGCCGGTGCACACCTGTTATCAATGATCGGCTTGCAAAATTTGGGCTACTGATATCACATGTTGAAAATTCCATACTTCTACCGAAAATACTGTATGGTTTCAAGCTATAATAAAAAATTCTTCTACATGGGTTATATGGCATTCGCTTCACCAAAAGCATTTTCAACAGGCTCTACCTCGAGATTTCATCAAAAGCTGTCTTCTCTGGCTCTATATTGAAGATCAGACAGCCAGCCAGCGAGAAAGAATTAACAAGAAAAAACTGTGGCTGGGGACAAACCGAAAGGCAAGGGCCTATTGCTCAACAAATACGTAGATGTTGGGGGATTTCATTATGAACTAAAATCAGTAACGGAACCATTGGAAAACGAATCAGCGAGTACTGGCTAGCTAACTGTTTCTTCTTAGTGCTTAGGACTCTTCAGGAGTATGCACCCATCGCTGCCAGGGTTCGAACTCACAACCTTCTGGTTACAAGGTGAGCTAGCTAACTCGTAGACCATTAAGCCACTAGTGGGACCCATTCCAATGACCAGCCCATGAATTCCAACTTCTGCCAATTCACAACATAGCACGACCACTTCGTAATGTCTTCTTCAAAGAGTAACTGTCCTCACCTTCGACCTGCTGCTTTCTACTGGTCACGGCTTCCCACTAGAACCAGCTCAGGTTAACTGCCTGAGTGGGTTCAGTAGCTAGTGACCATCAGATTAATTTTCAAGTATTGGTTTTGTAGGGATTTTGTTTGTTTTATTGGTTGGAGGATTTCATCAATGAGAGAAACATCCGTCAACCTGCAAGGAGTACTGGACAGCCAGATGTTTTGTCCTGGTTTCGGATGAATCTCGGTGAGTTCGTACTGTTGAAGAGTCCCAGTCAATTTTCCAATGGTTCTCTCACTGATGTCAGCTCATGATGAAATCCTCCAATTAACCAATTAAACAGAAAAAATTCCTACAAAACCAATAGTTGAAAAATATGTAGAAGAAAACAGAGATGGATTGGGCACAAGCTAAGGAGACACCGTTGAGGACACTGCACTCTTTTCAGGCCATCCTTAAGTGATGGAAGGATGGAAATTATGAGGCCCACCTCTTGTTAAACTGATATCAGTTATTTTTAGTTTAAGAGGGTATATTGGTAGAAGCTGTTGACCAGTTCACTTATTTGGGAATTGGCATTCACCCTGGTCGACTGACTGATTGATGACAGAATCTCAGAGTGGAAACAAAACCTAGTCAAACATAAGCATAAATGGGAGGAACCTGAAAGAAACAACCACCTTTACCTACCTGGGAAGCATCGTTTTAACTACAGACGAACGGGACTGGCGAGGATATCAAAACAAGGATCGGGAAGGCAAGACAAGCTTTCATCACTCTCAAGTCTGTGTGCAGGTCAACAGCACTCACCATCAAAAATAACATCCGGATTTTCAACTCCAATGTGAAGTCAGTCAGTACTACTATACGGATCAGAGACTTGGCCACTGTGTCATAAAGAGCATCTCAAACAAACTACTGGCCTTTATTAACAGTTGTCTTCGCTGAATACTCAAAATCAGATGGCCAGGAAGAAAAGATCACCAACAGGGATCTCTGACAATGAGCAAACCAACCAGGAACCGATTGTGGAACAAATAGGCAGGAAGAAATGAAGGTGGATTGGCTGGCCATACGCTGAGAAAACCATCAAACGACATCACTAGATAAGCCATCGCTCGAGTGGAACCTAACTAAATGGGAAGCGGTGAGTTGGTCGTCCAGGGGTGACTTGAAGGAGGTGATGTGAAGAGGAGATGAAAGCATGTGGGCAGATTTGGAGCGGGGTGAAAAAGTTTGCAGAAAACAGAAGGCAATGGAGATGCGCAGCTGAATCCCTATGTTCCTCTAGGAATAAAAGGATACAATAATAATATTACATGATCCCTGACATAGACATGATATCCAGCTATCAATTAAAGGACATGTATACTGCTAACAAGTTTGCTCTGTCATTCTTTATGTTTGTGAGTTATGGCAATTGCTAGTGGAAGAAATGAAGACGCTAACTATCTTTGACCAGAGATATTTGCATTCTATCTGTCGTGCTAAGTAGTTTGGTATTCTGAGTAATCTTTCGGTTAGGCCTCTAAGGGAACCCAACTACCAAGGAAGAAAGACAGATTAAACAATGGGAGGATCACTCCAAAGGACTCTTGAACCGACCACCACCTGCAACCCATCCAGAAATAGCAGCAACAGCACGTACACAATTGCAAGTCAACACCAGTCCTCCAACAAAAGCTGAAGTCTTGAATGCAATCAAGCTTCTGAAAGCTGGAGAAGCAGCTAGACCAGATGGAATACACCCTGAAGCACTGAAATCGGACCCAGAGACGACAGGAGATATGCTGACTCCATTATTGCAAAAGGTCTGGAAGAAGGGAAAGGTGCCTACTGACTGGAAGAAGTGTTACCTCGTGAAACTAACAAAGAGGGGCGACTTACGCCTCACTCTGCAAGAACTGGCGAGGAATCATGCTCCTGTCGACGCCAAGTAAAATCCTGAGTCGCATCATCCTGGAGAGATTAAAGGACACACTGGATACAGAACTCCCAACAGAACAAGCCGGATTCAGGAAAGGCAAATCATGTTCTGACCAAATTGCAACTCTACACATCATCATCCCAGAACAAAGCATAGGAATGGCAATCAAACCTCTACCTCAACTTTTTAGGCTTTGAGAAGTCCTTCGACAGACAGCGTTGACCGTGAAGTAATTTGGAAACTACTCGAGTACTGCGGCATTCCCCAAATATTCATCAAACTTATTCAACAGCTGTACGACAACGGCGGCACATGTCAAGTGATCCACAATGGAAAACTCAGCGAGGCGTTTGGAGTAAACACAGGAGTCAGACAATGGCGCTTATTATCACCCAAGATGATATTCCTAATTGTGGTGGACTGACTGGATTATACGTCAGACAGTGGGAAACGAGAAACGGGACAGGGATATCCTGGACCGACGTGAAGAACCTAGAAGACCTGGATTTTGCTCGTGGATGATTTATGTTTGATGTCACACAATATCGAAGACTTACAAGCGAAAACCGATAAACTGGTTGAAGAAGCAGACAGTGAAGACAGGACTTCAAATGAACATAGACAAGACCAACCAACAACAACCACCAC